GGAGTTGCATGGATCAGAAGATAGAAAGCATCAGAGCTCTAGGACAAAGCCCCCAACCAACTGCTAAAGTCTATCAGTATGCCCATCCATCACCCATGCAGCTTTGTGGTTAGCATAACAGTTGCTAGCTAATTGTTTCATCATTATGGGGATAACGGATGACAGTGAATACAGATTTGCAGTGTGGCCCCTCTACAAGTCTATTCATCATTATGGGGATAACGGATGACAGAGAATACAGATTTCAGTATGGCCCCTCTACAAGTCTACGACAATACTATATATGAGGGCATTTTATGCCAGATAGATGAAAGAAGTAGGTATTTTCCTTCCTGGACTCCTGACTGAACCATGACTAACGTTAGCATCCCAAATGTAGCTTTGCACTAAAGATCTTTCTCTGGCTACACATGCTTTTATGATGGAGGTGATTGGATGCATTGAAATGAGCTTCAACTGTTTTTAATTCTGTATGAAACTACCATGAATCTAATGGGATTTGTCCATATTGTGTTCTGGGGAACTCAGGAGACACCCACCCTAATGGGGAAAGTGAAAATTTTTCTAGTGTGAAGAAGATATGCTTGATATCCTGTCAGTTGCTCTAATTTCCCAGCTCTCTTCTAAAGTTCCCAAGACTCCAGAGAGATATATGCATAATGCACAATATCTGAATGAATGTCTGTGGAAAATGACTTTTACTCAAAATAAATTAATCTTTAAATCTCAATACTCAGGGGGAAAGTTTAGACAAAGTTTAGATAGCAACAAGCTGCTTACACTGCTGTTAAGCCTAGCCTCAGCTGCGCTTCACTGCCCCAGTCTGGCAGCTGAACTCCATCAGCAACCAGAGAGGTCTCATTAGGAAGAGATCTTGAAATCAGTAGATAGACATTGGGCAGAATTGTTTGTGGCTGTTTACTTAATATCATGCTGACCCCCCCCACACACACACACACATATCCAAAGTGTTTAAAAATCACTTGTTTGTTCCCCAATGATTACTCCAGCTTTCTACATACAAGCCTGGTGTATTGTCAATCACAGGAAGTTGTGTCAGCCAGGTGAATGTGTATCCAGTAACCTGATCTGCTGTTGACAGAACAGGGACAGGTGCTCCAGCCAAACTAATCTATACATGCATGTTAGACATAGGTCATCCATTAAAGTGGATTGATTCAACGCTTTAAAAAACTACTCCTCAATAATCCCAAGCTCAGCATTAAATTGCTGCCATGATGCAAAACTGCAGTAATTCAAGATGGCCTGCACTGGAAAGGGAAAGGAATTTCAGTGTTTGTCAAGTTAGAAGCATTTTGTCACACAAGGGAACATTTTTGAAAATTATGTCTGAACTTTATGAAGAGAAAATTAAATGGCTGAGTGGTTTGTCATCTGAAGTAGTAGAAAAACAAAAGGTACTTCAGTTTAGTTTACTGTAAACACTATTCAGCATATGACACTCAGAGAGGCTTGATAGCAGTGGGCTGAATACAGAGGCAGCTTATTGTTGTCACTTATATGACCATATCAGATAACAGCCACATGTAAAAGACATATAAACTAGAATTCTCTTTGATTCAGTGTTATTATCAGACCCACTCCAGTACAGCCCCAAATGCCAAATAAAGGTTTATAGGCAGAGGCCAGACATCCACTGCGCTCTGATTGGTAGGCAAGCCCGCAGCAGTCTCACCTGTTATCCACAGCCCAGTGCATGGTAAACACCCTCAGTCAGACCGGCAGGAAGAAGGAGCCCATCTGGTCAGCAGCATTAACAACTGGCTCTTTAACAATGGCTTCCAGGAATAGGAGAAGGGCACAACAGGCCATACCAGCCAATAAAAACAGGCTATGCATGACATTTAGCGCCTGATGCAGGGCTTAGCAGTATACAGGTTACTTACTGTCTGCAGCCCCTGGAAATAAAACACAAGGTAATCTCACAGAGCAGAGTGGGTGCTGTGTGTAAAGCTGCCTGTAATGTGTGTAAGGATGCAGAGAGAGCATAAAGTTACAAAGCATGTATAAACATCAGGCAAATAGGCAGCCAGCACCTCAATTCTGCTAATGCTATTATTCTCCATTTTTAACAGTGTCCCCAGTGTGAAGGCTCATTGCATCAACAAGAAAGGAAGAATAGCTTTTTTAAAGGTGTGTAAATACATGAAACAGTTGAGGGGAGATACAGGTGTCAAATTAAAAGCACGGTCACTGAAGAACATTGAAACTGACTAAACAGTGCCATCTTGTGTTTAATTGTTCAGTAGAAAGACGCTAGAAAAACCGTTGTTGTTGCAATCAAAATTACAACTTTTTATCCGTGTTTTATAAGAGCATGTTATATAGACTGTTATTAAACATTGTCCACTTGAACCATTTCCTAACTATTTTCCTAAATGTGCACACTGGCCAGCCATGTGATGCAGCTTTCACATGCTGCTGAATAATAGCAGTGCTCCACAACAAAATGGATTGTAACAGGTCAGAAACTAGGGGCAGCTCTGGCTTATTAGATATTTGATGGTCTCTATTTTTACAACTGCCTCCACTAAGCATGCAGAGGATGAAGACAAAGTCTCTAAATGAGATCTAGAGAATACAAAGAGGGAAGACAGAAAGGTTCAGGGTGGAGTTTGAAGAGCAAGCAATGGGTTCTCTACAGCTGCTGGCACTAATGAGGATAATTACCCCAGTAATAACATTAGCCTATCTGAGGGAATGGAGGGGAAGGACAAGTGGTTGTATTTATGTGTGTGTGGGTGGCCATGCGAGAATGTGTGCATGCATGTGGTTGCTGTATGTGTATGTGCATGCATGACCACACATGTGCCTTTCCTTCTATCTCATTCGCAGTCTCTCTCTCATTCCCTGAATCTCAATATCTCTTTGTTAGCCCACAATAATTGTATTTGGGCCTCATATCCGCCATATCAGATTTGAGTTTGTACAAGGTAATTAGCAGAGGAAGGGAAGCCTCCACACCAGGAGGACAAATTGCACCCATGACATAATTCTGGTTCCACTCAGGAGGGGAAGCTATTTTTCTCCTCTCTCCTTCCTCCTTTTCATCTTTCTTGTGTTTCAGCTGTCAAAAGTGAGGCAAAAATGTTGCAGGAGGCAAAAGTTGATGACATTGTAAAGGAGGAGAGTTGAGATTAAGGAGATAAAGAACTGAAGAAAAGAAAAAGAGAGATAAAGGAGAGGAAAGTGATATGGGATGAGATGAGGGGGTGCGACTTCATCGCAGGCCTGTAATCTCCAAAGAGCTTTGACTAACAGACAGCGAGGGAAGTTCTTGCGAGTTAATGCAGCTTGCCATTCCAAAGGAGTCGGTGTATCCAGCTGGGAGTCAAGGGATGAAGGCAGGATTAACTGGCACCCAGGTGAAGAGACTCAGACAGAGACCCAGAGGATTGTCACACCCTCTCTCACTTCACATGTGTGCTTCCTGTCAGGAGTGGATTTGTATCTGTGTTAGTGACTGTAATTTGTATCAGTGTCATAATCAAATTGAATGTTTTTAGAAAAAGTCAGCAATTCATCTTATTGCTATTTGTTTTGACATTTGAAACAACATCCATTTTACACTGTTACAGATTTAAATTGGCAAATGTCAGTGGTAAAAGATTTGGGTAATTGTGCTCGTACAAATCAAAAAATCTACACATCAAATAAGGAATTTATTCTTGTGCCATGATACAATAAAAATGTAAATATAAACAGATGTGATCCTTAATCAGTTAGTCATTTCACAACTGAGTAAATAAGCTTACTACAAACATCATGCCTTTTAATTTGAAAAAACATAGCTGTGTTAGTTCAAAGGCTCTTTTTCCTGAGGACTCCTTGTTGTCTGTTCTCATACTGTAAACAGACTTAAATTAATTAACCTCCAGATGCCACCTGTCCATCACCTTCCTCCAGATGATCAAAGTGCTCCTCTTCCACCTCCACATGGCCCTTCACTGAGAATATAGTTTAAGTGAGAATATGTTGTTTAAAAGTAATCACTTTGCAGTTCTGTTGAGCAATCTTAGCACAAAAATCCAATTCACCATTGGCCATGGTGAACAATCTAGTATATGATTCTGCTGCTTCTTCCAAGGCATTGTAGGAGCTGCTAGTCTCAGCTGGGATCTGTTAAGATGGAAGCAATTTATTGGGAAGTGATTAAATATATGATTGATTGCTGCTTTTTGAACATTGGTTTTATTATTTTTGTGCATGTATTAATTTCCAGTTACACAGATAACTACCAACATGGTTTATTTTAGATAACTGTCTTGTAACATTTCACATTGCTATACTACTGCGATCTTTGCCAATATATTGCAATAATAACTCTTATTACTATGTAATTTTCATCTCAGCCACAGAACATAGAAGAACATTGACCACCTGGTTTAAAGTCTAAAGAGTCACTGCAGTGATTTATTATTGCACACAAAGTGATGGATTAAAACAGGATGTAAGAACTAGATTGGCAGAAGTCAGCAGAGATATATTGAGCTTTTTGTATTAGTCTGTAACATTGGAATCTCTATTTCTCATAATGCAGTTCAATCATTTCTTTTATCTGTGTTATTTTTCAGACTTTGGAAAGTTGCTTCCAGAGCTACAGAAGACACTTTACCCTTTTTTTGTAATAAACTGAGATGGTATAAAACGTATAAAATCAAAAGAGTTCCCCTTTAATGAAAATGAAACAAAGGTCCTTTTAAAGTAAACTTGTGTTTTAAGTGTCTTAGTGTCTTTTTAAGTTACGTGGCAGTTTACCTAACTATCCGGTGTGTTTCAAATTATAGAGGGATGCTGAGCACAATCGCCTCTCTGTGTGAATGACCAAAGGCGTGGCTTTATGAGCGTACTCTATGACGTCATGGCACGTGAGGCGCTCCCTAGCACGGCAGGGGACCGTAAAGGTGGCGGTAAGATACAGTGACATTCCTTTTATACTTCAAAAATAAAAACTGAGAAAGTGGTTCTACCAAGATCAACGCAGGTTTATTGACTGTTTTTGATATCACACTTTGTTTTACATGATCCACTTATCAGTAAATACGCAACAATTGAAGCTGAAGGTGTGTGGTGCGAGTTCAGGAATGGCTGGGCTTTTATTTTGAAAGGGACACATATAGTACATCTCGCGTCTATCTTCAACTTAACACTGTTCCACGTTTTCCAGGAAGTAAAGAAATGTCTAAAGAGAAAAATTCACAACTTCACTAGCTAAATGAGCTGACAAACACACACACATTCTCTCTTTACACTCACGGTTCCTGTTTCTCGTGACCAGAATTATCAAGAGACATTACCGGAAACGACAATTTACAGTCTTGTCGGGAATTTTAGTAAGTATTTCTAGAGATATTCTCAGTTACACTGTTTGATATGGTGTCATTTTGACAGTTTGTCAATGAAGTTGTAATTTATCTCAGCTTATTAGACTTCAGTATAACTGACAAAGCTGTACTGGCTCTATGATGATAATGGTGAAATACATATGGTCAAATTATAGCCTATATACCCAGTTTATAACGTTTCTACCGGCTAAAGTTAAACACATCGAATTTGTTGACCAGTTAATTTCTGTAGTCTGGTCTCCAAAGCCTAGTACAGACTGAAATGGGATAAGTTAGTGTACGGATGGAGCCTGGAGGACACGTAATAAACATTACATGTAGTGTGTGCATTGTTACATCAATAAAAAGTGAATAACCTGTTAACTTCAGGGACCTATTTTCGACTGGTCCGATAGGTTAAGGCTCGATCCTGCTGACGTGTGGCCATATAGGTGGGTCACAGCTCTCAGGTGTGACCTCAGTAGTTCTCAGACAAAACGATCCTGTTTTTCCAGAGCAGGAACTAGAGGGTGGCCTCTGTTCCTGCCCAGGAACCACAACCATCTATGATATAATAACTGCAGCAGATTTTTGAATGCATGAATAATTTTGTCTGTGTTGTACATGACTGGTCTAGAGAATGGCAGAGAAGGTGCTGGTCACAGGTGGAGCAGGCTACATTGGGAGTCACTGTGTGGTGGAGCTCATCGAAGCAGGCTATGAGCCAGTTGTAGTAGATAACTTCAGTAACGCTGTAAGAGGTAAGCTCCCTTACTGGAAGCACAGCATGATGAATAACTTTGGCTGTCATCATACAGTGCCAAGAATGTTTGTTTAGTGTAGTGATACTCATACCTGGTATGTTTTCTACATCCTGGTGTGGGTGGAGGACAAGGAGATGTACCAGAGAGCATACGTAGGATAGAGAAACTTCTGGACACCAGCATTGAGTTTCATGACCTAGACCTTCTGGACCGACCTGGCTTGGAAAAACTCTTCAAAAAGGTCAGAAAGTTAATATTCATTCATTCATTCATTCATCTTCTGTACTGCTCAGTCCAACTGTACAGTTGATTTATTAATTTATATAGATAGTGACATCTAATCTTATAGATAATGAAAAATAATTTCTTGTTGGAGCCCCAAATCACACAGTATGCATGAATAAAATGTCTTGTTTAGTTCATCAAAAATCAGCTCTGAAATAAATGAATAAATGCTATATGTGCATATTATCTATGGAAACAATGGGCATCCCCATCACATATCATTATCTGCACGTATGTCTGTATCACAGCATTCTTTCAGTGCTGTGATGCACTTTGCTGGTCTGAAGGCTGTTGGAGAGTCAGTGGAGCAGCCGTTACGGTACTACAGGGTCAACCTCACCGGCTCCATCAATCTACTTGAGGTCAGTTTCAACTTGTACTTTTGTTATCTTGTTAACAGCCTGTCCTCTAACTCTGCACTAAACTTGTAACCAGTCATTGTGTTCACTAATCATCGTCTTTGTTTGCTGAGTGCATGATAGTGTGTTGATCTGATACTGAGTTGGCTAGTTCTAACACTGCACCTTTCATAGCTTTCAGTGTGTGGAGCTCACTGTGTTGGCAAATCTCCATGTTTATGCTTATTCCTAAAATGTATGTGTGCGTGCTGTAGACTGCTTTCTCACCGACCGCTCACTGTACTTGTGTGCCGTGTATGTGTGCATCTGCATGTGTCCCAGGTGATGCAGGCTCACAGAGTGCACAATCTGGTCTTCAGCAGCTCAGCCACTGTGTATGGAGACCCTCAACATCTGCCCATCGATGAGCAGCACCCCGTGGGCGGCTGCACCAATCCCTATGGCAAGACCAAGTACTTCATTGAGGAGATGATCAAGGACCACTGTAAGGCAGAGAAGGTACTAATCAGAAGGTTAAAGTACATTTGCAGATGCACAAACATATGCATATGTCTCACTGTTGCTTGTGTGTAAGCAGGACTGGAATGCAGTGCTGCTGCGTTATTTTAACCCTATTGGAGCTCATTCATCTGGCCTGATCGGAGAAGACCCTCAGGGTATCCCCAACAACCTGCTGCCATATGTAGCCCAGGTACACGAGATCTCTGCCAAATACACATCAGAGAGACTTTAGTCTAAATTTAACTACGTGTCATAGTTGGATTTATCGGATGATTTCACATTGTCTGCACTGGTTAATTGAACTTCCTTATAGGTGGCCATTGGGAGAAGAAAGTGCCTCAGTGTATTTGGGAATGACTATGACACCACTGATGGAACAGGTAATTAAGAAGACCTTTAACTGCAACGCACTGTGGTTTGAGATATTATTTTGGGTAGCCCACTCTTAATAACAAGTAAATCTTTTTTATTTATGTTCAGGATCATGTAAACGAGGGGTTTCTCTCTTTTTTCTAGGTGTGAGAGATTATATTCACGTTGTAGATCTGGCAAAGGGGCACATAGCAGCTCTGAAGAAGCTGAAGAATAGCTGCGGGTGCAAGGTGCATTTGAAAAGAGAAAAATGCCATAATAGCTTAAAACACATTTTCAACCATTTTCTGCCCATGCGTATGTACTTGTGGTATTTACTGGTGCTCCGGCATTTGTGCATCGTAAATAGGTTTACAACCTAGGAACAGGACAAGGCTACTCTGTGTTCCAGATGGTAAAAGCTGTGGAAAAGGCGTCAGGGAGAGAGGTGAGTATTAGAAGAGTGCTTTTTCTCTCCGAGGTAAATTGCAGGATCAGAGTTTGTGTGGCATTTTCTGTGAGTAATTGAAGTGACTAGGTGTAGTAACCAAACAGCATCATGTTAGCCTGTGAGAGGTCAAGAAGAGCTCTGACCAATTTAGGTTTTCTTTTATTTAAGATAAAGTCAAATGTTTTCATATTAAATCTTTACCTGATGTATCCTCTCTATAGAGAATGTGAAGTTGTCATCAAGCTGTGTTGAATTTTGAGTAGATGCACCATTTTGGGAGCTCATGCTCATTATCCATCATAGAGATATACACTACATACATCTATAAGCTAATTTAAAAAAAATAATATCCCATACAGTCGTCAATGCTTCAACTATGTCCAAACATCCACTTTAGGGTTCAGTTTGAGTGCAGACAGGACAAAGACTGATTCATCTGCAGGGTTTGTGTCATCTGCTGACAGCTGCTAGCTAGCGTTAGCTCCCAAACCTAGAGATGAAATCAGTGTGCAGTCATTTTTCAGTCTGTTGCTCTCATAAATGGCATCTCTACATCCGCTATGAGTTAGCTACAGTCAGCTAAAGTGATCCAATTCTGAATTACTACAGATCTAAATGCTTTAAGCAACATTTTTGCCAAACAAAACAAGAATGCATGCAGGTAAATACAGTGTGTATCTCTCAAAATGGCACCCCTGTCCCAACATTCAACATGGCATGATGTACCTTCACATTCTCTGTAGATCTCATACAAGATCGCCCCACGCAGAGAAGGAGACATAGCATCCTGCTACGCTGACCCTCGTCTAGCTGAGAAGGAGCTGGGGTGGAAGGCTGAATTTGACCTGGAAAGAATGTGTAAGAACAGCTACACTGCAGAATTAATTTCATTTCCTTTGATCCTCCTGCAGGAAATACTGTACATGTATTTTATATATTCCTCTACAGTATCATAACGTTATTTTTTCGATATAGGTGAGGATCTGTGGCGCTGGCAGTCCATGAACCCCACTGGTTTCTCCAACAACACAGACTCGTGATTCAAGCACAGGTGGTTGCTGTTGAATATTCTTCTAAAACACCGGGCCAAAGCAAACCATCAGCTTCCTCATTTATGCATATCACATTGACACATAAGAAGATCTGAAGGAGAGACGACTGCTTTAAGTTTTGTCATGTTTCATTTTCCATGTCTTCTGTATTAATCTTATTTTTTCAAATAATTCCATACAAATGTTTCTGTGTTGTAGTTTTGTAGGGTTTAACAATGGATATTTTCTCTATTAATGTGTTAATTTGTGAGTGATAACAGTAGAGGAATAAATTAATTTTCTACCTGAAGAAACTGAAGCTTGCGTTTCCACTTCATTATGAAACTGTCCTGTTTTAAATGATTGTAAAATTAGTTGTAATTAAGGGAGATTGATGACCGGCTACATAATGAGATTAAATTGAAATGCTTTATTAACAAAACTGTCAGAATATTCTAGTAAAAGATACCCATGTAAATATGATGAATTTGTCTGGAAACACATAGACAAATCTACCAGTGTGTAGAAGTATTGTATTAATCATGATCAGTTTATAAGACTGAGGTATTTGGTGTTTTAATCATTACTACAGTAATTACTGCTCTGTTAATACAGTGCATTTAAAGGGGGCACTGGGGCTTTAAATGGCTCCTGAACCCTCGGGCACCCAGTTAATAAACACCCACGTCAGCACAGCGCTCCAGCCACACTAACCGGGTTTCGGTCTTTAGGGCTGAGCAGGAAGTGCCTGGCTGTGCACCCTGGACGCGAAAAGAACTGAGCAAAAGGCGCAAGAAAAATTTGAAAAATGGATATGGTGGCAGACTTGGGGGTGAACAGACTCTATCGGGCGCCGGGTGAATCAAGTCACCAGTGAGTATCGATGGATTTTGTCAGAGGTATCACGGCGTGGGGCGTAAGCGGGTCCTGCCGACACCTCACGCCTGGGAAGGAGTCGCAGGGTCTGGGCAGCGAGCAAATCCTCCCCGCTGCTCGCTTGCGCTCCGGACCGCCGCGGAGAAGTAGGGGTGATGTTAAGGATGGAAACGGGCGTTTTAGCGCCTCTTATCCTCCAGCTGGGATGCTATCTGAAAATATTTCGGCTATTTTCAGCTCGCGGCACGCTCGGCGGCTGGAGGGTTGGGTCTATTTTTCTATTGTGTGCTGGCTGGAGCCTGAAGTGGGCGTCGCTCCAGGACAGACTGGGCTGCTCTGGTGCGCCGCTGCCCGCTTTTCTCTCGCAGGACTGCAGCACTCGTGTCGTTTTTGTAGGTCGACTGATGTATGGATTAAGGGAGGATGGATCGGTTAAGATGTTAGACTTGGTTTAGTGTGACACGAAGAGCATTACAGAGTCTTGCGGGCGTGCGTTGCACCGTGGGTTATCGGGCGCTGCGTATCCTGTCGGAGAACATCACATAATTAAACGTGAATGCGTCTACAGGAGGATTGGCTCAGTAAGCTATTCTGCAAAGGAGGTTGCGGCAGTTTTTCGTTTTTATTTTTTATTTTTATTTTATTTTTTGTCTCTCTTTACTTGTAATGTAATGTCTGGCAAGGGTGTTTTATTTTCCCTTCCCACTAACGTGGTGGTAACACCAGAAATATCATGCGCCCTTCTGTCTCCCTCAGATGGCCTGTGATTACAGGATTTTGTCACCCGACGCTCTCTGACTAGAGTCGGGTGTAGCCCATTAGAAAATAGTTGTAATTGAAAGCTCGTCCAGCCAATAATAGCACAGAATGAAGTAGGGTGGGCGGGTCCTCTGCGGAGCTGGAGCTGGTCCTGTGCCGGGACAAAGACGGGATAATTGACAGTAACATTAATGGGGTGTCCCGGCTGTGTTTGTACTGTGACCTGCAATTAATACTTTGGCTCTGTAGTATAATTGTTTACCAAGGTAAACCAACGGTGTTGAGGTCACACGTCCCATGAATCACCTTGAGAAGCCAGTGTTTGCCTCAGTCAGTATGTAGAATGTAAATTATACATGATTAATGCATACAGGCTGGTGTTGACATTTTTTGTTTGTTAATTCAGAAACATGAAAAAGTGTTTCAGTAAGGCCTCTATGATTTGTTCTATTCTGGCATAACAGTCGATATGCAGCCACTGAGGGTGCTGTCATGTTGTTTCTTGCAGGCAGCCTCAGAGGTGGTTCAACGCCGCTGACATCACAGTGGCTCATCAAAGCAACGTGCTGAAGCAGCTCAACCAGCAGCGCCGCCAGGAGCTCTTCTGTGACTGCAGCGTGCTGGTGGAGGGCCAGCTCTTCAGGGCCCACCGCAATGTTTTGTTTGCCAGCAGTGGCTACTTCCGCATGCTGCTGTCCCAGGGGCCTGACGGGCTCTCCGACTCTGTCAACGCCACCTTCGACGTCTTCAGCCCAGAAACCTTCACCGTCATCCTGGATTTCATTTACTCTGGCCAGCTGGACCTGTCCAGTCACAATGTGATTGAGGTGATGTCTGCAGCCAGTTACCTGCAGATGAACAATGTCATCAACTACTGCAAGAATTTCATCAAATCCTCCCTGGACATCAGTGTAAAAGATGAAGACAGCAAGCGATGCCTCAGCTTGTCTGAGACCTGCAGCTTCACCAGTGGAGCAGGGGAAGAAACCTCAGAGCAGCAGCAGCAGCAGCAGCAAGGCCCCTGCTCTGTTAGCCCACCACCTGCACTCTGGACAAGAGACAACTCCAGATCCCAGTCTAGCTTTATGGGGAAGGACCCAGACCAGGAAGCTTCTGCCTCAGCTCTGACTAACCCAAACAGCCCTGCTAATGAGCTTAACACAGAGTCAGAGGACCTGCAGGACCCTCATGACCCCCTCTACACCTTGCCTGGATCAGAGCGCCGGCGTGGTAAAGGGGGAACCAAAAGGAGAGCGCCCAACAGCAACCGTTCCAACCAGCATGAGGATTTGGACATCCAGGAGGCGAGGACACAAAAAGCTGAGAAGGCAGAACAGCTGTACGCGACTTTACCACCAATTGTAGGTGTTATTGGCCACTTCAACAAAGGTGAGTTGAACTTTAGCTGAGAATAAATAAGCGTTATTTGTTTTTATAAAAATGAAAAACATACATCATTATAAGCAGAGTGTCATGAGTACAGTCCTCAAAACAAGCCCGTTGTATTTAAATGACGAATAAACAAAAATGCTAAATGTCCAGGTTTCTTCCTCTCTTGCAGATTCCAACCCCATTATGCGCTTCAAATGCCCCTTTTGTACACACACGGTGAAGAGGAAGGCAGACCTGAAGCGTCACCTGCGCTGTCATACCGGGGAGAGGCCATACCCATGTCAGGCCTGCAATAAACGCTTTACGCGCCTGGAGCATCTTCGTAGCCATTTTGAGACAGTAGGTTTATTCACAGCCAGGAGGTGATATCTCAAATGATATTTAGCCCTATGTACTCATACACATACGGCTACAGGAACACAAGCAGTACTTTCCCAGTGCTCTTTACATTCATCTTTAAAGCATTTTCACCTGAGCCTACACTCTTTGCTTTTGTTTCTCCATAGATCCATCAAGCCAGGAAGCTGGTGTGCAGGAAGTGTAAGTGTCAGGTCACAGAAGAGACAGGACACGTGGTGTGTGAGGGCACACGACGCCACCGCAAGTGCAACGGCTGGGGTGTATCCAGGAAGTGGGCTGCGACAACATCCCCATGGACGGTCTAGAAGGGCCTAATGAGGAGCCGGCCCTGTTGCTGGGCGTGGATGGAGAGGAGGAGGGGGACGCCAAGAGGAGCTGGATGGTAACTGACGATGATGACCTGGCCGAAGACTCAGGGGCCGACCTCATCATCCAACAGGTGGATGACAGTGACGAGGAGCTGCAGTAAAATGAGACCAAAGTATGTGTTTGCAGAAGCATGCATGGATATTGACTCTGTGTGTGTGTGTGTGTGTGTGTGTGTGTGTGTGTGTGTGTGTGTGCGTTACAGCAATGCAAATGAACTTATGCAGAAAATATGTGATCGACAGATGTAAAGTGAATACACACACATAATGTGTATAAAATATAAGTTGTTTATTAGTTAAGTGCAACAGGTTGATCTTTCCTTTCAGTGAGATTTTTGACCTTTGTAACAAGAAATGCTTTTTGGTAAACTTCATAGAGATATGCAGAATCCAAAGCATGCATAATCAGTATTTCCTTTGCTTCAGTTATATTTACTGTATAGGCTTTAAGAAAACCCTTTCAAAGATAAAATATGTTTATTTGTTTGCATGGAAGGATACCTTTGCTACTTTTTGGGACTCTACTCTGAGAAAAAAGAAAAACTGGCATTTAAGCAGCACAAAGCAACAAGGACAGAATGATGACTGCTATTTTCTGCTGGGGAAAGTCGAGAGCAGACTTTTTTTCCCCAGCAACTCACAGTTGCAGTTTTTGTTGTGATTCTGTTTGATGATATAAAGTAAATTATAATTTATTTATTTATTTTTTTACTTTTACACATTAAAAATATTTTTGTACGTTTTTGTTTCTTGCTCTCTCACCCTCCTCATAAATAAGGGAAATGCTGCTGTAGATCAGATCAGCTATTTTCCTCCCTTAGAATAAGCTTTGATTTTATAACAAAAATATTAATTGTGTAAATGTATAGTCACATTATATAAAAGTAAATAATATAAGGCACAGCAACAGTTACAATAAGTAAAACTTAAAAAAATGTAACAGTGTATATACTGTTTTTTTCACTTTAGATGGTTTATCAACCAATGTAATGTACTGAAGTGTGACTATGGGTATTCCTTTATAAGATTCTTGTTTGAAAACACTATTTTCTCATTAAACATTTGCAATAAAATCAGTTTTAGGGTCACTGCATTCAAAATATGGCAACACTTCTTAACAGGAAACTTTAAAATGTGTTTATTATTTTGAACATCTGGCCAAAATCATGGAGTTACATGATTCAGGTTCATCTGACATGAACATTAGGAGTCTGAAACCAAAATACTGGATTAAAGTTCTTGAAAACATATTTCCTTAATCACATTCCCACTGCAAAGTCTGGGTTAATACAAATGATTAAATTGATGTTTGTATTCAGGCTACATTTTTGCATATTTTCTTCATGCTGATTTGAAGTTGGACAATAATGTTTTAACCACAAGTTTTCAACCATGCCTGAGGCAGACTGTGGTTAAAATTTAGCCATGTAGAATTAAAGACCTGGACGTGAGACAGAAATGTGAGCAATGTTTGACTCAAAATCAGATGGCAGTTCCCCATCAAGAATGTTATAGTAGCAAAAACAGATGTAAATGATGCAAATAACGGATTAATGGATAAATTCTATTTAGCTGCTTCAGTTTCATAGTCCCGCTGTTGTGCATGCTGGCTCCCTGTCACAGGAACACTTCAATAGAACATAAACGTACCAGTGTTTATTAGCAGCGCCTGTGCTTTTCTTGTGACTGATGTCTGCTGTGAAAAGAGCCATAATAACTATGAACTAACTTAATTTTCAGGGACTTTATATTTTTTTTAGGTATACAGAACTTCTTTTGTAATGGACATTTTATTCAAAATACACTGCATCCAGAAAGTATTCACAGCAGCTATTGTTTGTAGAATTTTGAAGACAACAATGAATTTAATCCATTTTGGAATAAAGCTGTAACATAACAAAATGTGGAAAAAGTTAAGCGCTAAGAATACTTTCTGGATGCGCTGTAATATCACTTTCACTCACTCATTTTCTACCGCTTAGTCCCTGAACGGGGTCACGGGGGGGCCGGAGCCAATCCCGGCTGGCAATCGGGCGAAGGCGGGGTACACCCTGGACAGGTCGCCAATCCATCGCAGCTGTAATATCAATTAATTCGAAAATAATTTTTCATTAGAAAACCTCCCGCCCATAGATGGCGCCCTTGCGGTGCATATGTCAGCTGGGAGCACGCGGCAGCAATGAAAAAGTGACGTCACACCGAAGGCAGGACCAACATGGCGGCCGTCATGAGACTTGTCAACAGAGGGTTTTTAAGCTCAGCAATGGGTCAGCAGTACCTGGCGTTTAGTTCCGTAGCGAAGGCTAAAGCCGTAAGTTTTCTTGTTCTTTTATCTTCTAGCAGGTTGTACTTCCACACGTTTTAGCCAGCAGTCAGGACAGCAGTGAGTGTTAGCCAGTTGTTAGCATCCTCTGCCCATTACACACTATAGGTGACCTGACAGTTAGCCGATACTTATAAAGCTATTTCTGGTCTAACGTTAACGTTTACCCCTGCTTTACACCTGTTCTATGTGTTTGTGTGCGCGTGCTTGTGCAGGCTGGCGTAGGAGCAGGTCAAACTCTTCCCGAGAAGGTGAGAATAGTGGAAGTGGGACCCAGAGATGGTCTTCAGAATGAGAAGGTAACATTTCCTTATTTTTTTTTTTTTAACACAGTAGCTGTAATAGTGAGTAAATGTATCAGCCCAACTTTAACTGCTCGGTAGTGTTGTCACGATACCAACATTTTGGTACCGGTATTTCGATACTTTCGATACTTTTGGATAGTTTTTCAGATAAAAAGAGAACGCAAAAATGTCATTACTGACTTTATTTTAATAGAAAATCTTAGAATAACATCAAAATAAAATTCAAAATACTAGGCTTTTCTTATTGCACTCAAAAAATTTTTAGAACAGTCAGTGTGAGTAAATAAAAAGTATGAAGTTAGAAGGACCAATGTTTTTAAATGTATGTTACCAGTATTTATAACATATTAAATGGCTAAATATGTATGTAAAACACTGAAGGACTGTGCTGTAACCACATTTAAAATTACCTGTCGTTCCCTGAACTCAGTGTGCAGGTCTGGGTGCTTGTCCTGTAGGTGTTTGGCTAAGTTGGAGGTGTTTCCGCCCTTAGCCATGCATGTTTTAAAACATCGTTCACACAATGGTGCATCAACGTTAACTGCCTCTCCTTGCTCATTTGTTTTTATGCCGAAGTACTGCCATATAGCACTTCGCGCCCCTCGTTTGTCCTCAACTTGCAGGGTGGTGACTGTTACAGCAGCCATTCTCCTCTCCGTGCTCCTTTCTCTCTCTCTCTCTCCCTCTCCAACGTCTCTGCTCTCTCCAAGCTTTCCTCCTGCTCCGTTTGTTGTTCCAGTCCACGCTGCTCAGTGAGCAGAGGACGAGGAAGCTGTTTCCTGCTGTTTTCCTCAGTTGCGGGCGGGCGCTGCCGGCGGCGCTGCAAGTACCGGTCCCATCCAAATGCAGTATAGTACCATTTTAAATGCCTCAGTACAGCAGTACCATACTAGTACTGTTATATTGTGCAACACTACTGCTCGGATGTGCTTCTGTAGAGCAGGTGCATGGCTCATGTGTTGTGTAACCAGAGCCATCAGCCTCAGTTGTGCAGTATGGCATTGTTTTTCCAAGTGTTCCTCATCATGTTGCTGTTTTACCTTTTCCGTTGACAGACCATCGTGCCAACAGAGAAAAAAATTCATTTTATTGACATGTTATCAGAATCAGGGCTGCCAGTCATCGAGGCCACCAGTTTTGTGTCACCGAAATGGGTCCCACAGGTGAGTTTTTGTTTTTTGAGAGCCATTGGATGTGTCAGCTAAATGCTGACACACCCCACTGAGAGCAGTACAGAAATGTAATTGTATAGGTTTGGAAGTGACTTGTTTTCTCCGGCACTAATTGGTTTCTGGTGGGTGTGTATGGGTGTGTGTGTGCGCACTTGATTTATTCCCAAATGTTAGATGGCAGACCAAGTGGAGGTGATGAAGGGGATCTGTAGGAAACCAGGAGTGTCTTATCCTGTTCTGGCCCCCAACCTCAAGGGTTTCCAGGCTGCTGTGAGTGTCGAGCACCATATTACAACACACTTTTCCAAAAGCTACATGGACAAACTGTATATCCAGCTTCTTATATTGCGGGTTACATGCAGTGGTGCCTGCAGAAAATACTGAGTGATGGGGCCAGTAAAAATCTTGGTGTCACACTATTAAAGCTATACAGCAAAGAGAAATTTTAGGCTACACAATTTAATAGAAAGGTAACATAACATGACATGTTTCTTCACTGGCAAACTCCAGACCTGAGCGAGAGCAGTTATCATAATATAAACAAAGCAGGTGACACTGACTCCTGCTAACTTCAGGAAATTATGGCCTGGTCTTTGGTTACTAAAAAATGTGACACCCAGTGTAGCTGTGTGTTTCCCTGATGTGTTTTTAATTGTTCTTAAATAACAAGAGATCTATTGACACAGACAAACAAGCTAATCCATGATTGACAGACTGACATTAATCGTGAGTAGAGGGAATTCACTGTTGGTTTTGGTGGGCCACCCCTTGGAGGCACCATTGGTTACATGTCTAAAGGTTCCACAACTGTGCAAATGCTTTTTTGTGTGTCTTGTTCAAGATTCAAGATTTTTATTTGCCATTTATGCATAAACACATAGTCTAGGCATATAGGAATTCTTGTGCAGGACTCTCCTGGAGTCAAGTAAAGAGTTTAAAGCCAAAAGAACGAACACATAGTCTAAATATAAGATCACTCAAGAATACAAAATAGAGTGGAACCTTGGACTGCGAGTATAATTTGTTCCGGCAATATGCTCGTAATCCAAAGCACTCGTATATCAAAGTGAATTTCCCCATAAGAAATAATGGAAACTCAGTTGATTCGTTCCACACCCACTTATCCATATAAAAATGATTACAGTAATACAAAATACAGTATAAAGTAAAAATAAAACAAATTAACCTGCACTTTACCTTTGAAAAGAATCGTGGCTGGCACGAGGGGCCATTGTTGCAGTACAGCTATTGACTATATGAGTAGGGGGCAAGAACCATTGGCTCAGTTGTGACGTACATCACATGGCGCTCGGCAGACAAAGCGTACGTACTACTCGTATTGCGAGACCTCGCTTGTATATCGAATCTAAATTTTTTGCTCATCTTGCAAAACACGCGCAAGCTGGGTTACTCGTAATCCAAGGTTCCACTGTAGTTGATAAAATTGTGGATACAGGAATAAGATAGCAGGTAAAATGTGGAGTTTCAGATATTGCACATGGTGTTGCACATACAGTGAGGAACAGAAGTATCTGAACACCCTGCGATTTTGCAAGTTCTCCCACTTAGAAATCATGGAGGGGTCTGAAATTCACATTGTAGGTGCATTCCCACTCTGAGAGACAGAATTAAAAAAAGAATTTCAGGAAATCACATTGATTGATTTTTAAAGAATTTATTTGTCTTGCACTGCTGAACATAAGTATTTGAACACCTGAGAAACAGCAAGAATTCTGGCTCTCAAAGACCTGTTACTGTGCCTTGAAAAAGTCCACCTCTACTCCACTCATTAATCTAAATTAGTAGCACCTGTCTGAGCTCTTTAAAGACACCTGTCCACCCCACAGTCAGTCAGACGCCAACTACTACCATGGGCAAGACCAAAGAGCTGTCAAAAGAAAACCAGAGACAAAATTGTGGACCTCCACAAGGCTGGAAAGGGCTACAGGGCAATTGCCAAGCAGCTTGGTGAAAATAGATCAACTGTTGGAGCAATTGTTAGAAAATGGAAGAGGCTAAAGACGACTGTCAGTCTCCCTCGGACTGGGGCGCCATGCAAGATCTCACCTCGTGGGGTATCACTGATGATAAGAAAGGTGAGGAATCAGCCCAGAACTACAAGGGAGGAGCTGGTCAATGACATGAAGAGAGCTGGGACCACAGTTTCAAAGGTCACTGTCGGTAGAACACTACGCCGTCATGGTTTCAAATCATGCATTGCACGGAAGGTTCCCCTGCTCAAGTCATCACATGTCCAGGCCCGTCTGAAGTTTGCCAAAGACCATCTGGATGATCCAGAGGAGGCATGGGAGAAAGTCATGTGGTCAGATGAGACCAAAGTAGAACTTTTTGGTCTAAACTTCACTCGTCGTGTTTGGAGGAAAAAGAAGGATGAGATGCATCCCAAGAACACCATCCCTACTGTGAAGCATGGGGGTAGTAACATCATACTTTGGGGGTGCTTTTCTGCGAAGGGGACAGGACGTCTGCACTGTATTAAGGAGAGGATGAATGGGGCCATTTATTGTGAGATTTTGAGCAACAACCTCCTTCCCTCAGTCAGAGCATTGAAGATGGGTCGTGGCTCATGACAACGACTCAAAGCACACAGCCAGGATAACCAAGGAGTG